AAATAACTGTCGCCTAATAAGGCCCATCAATTTTGCCACTTTGCTAAAAACCACCGAGAATAAATCACATTTTTAAATCAGCCCCGCATTAGTGGCCGTCCATTAATCACGTGATGTTTTTTTTAGCATTATTTAACCTCCCCCCTCCCCCATAGTGATACATGGTGAGGTTTAAGACTAGCCCCCCCCCCCATATATCACGTGTATTTTTAGTACTTACAATGAATCTTAATTTTCTAATATTATTATATTATAGACAATTAAAGAGTACAATAATGTCTAGAGGTAGACAGAAAGATTACAGGACTTGCAGGTTGTTTTTGATTAACAAAAATAATGAAAGGAAAACTTTATGAATATTATTATTTAATGAACGTTTGACGAAAAAATAATTTTATTACACTTATTTACGCCGCTTTTCGGTTGAGTATCGCGCGTTCGTCGAAAAAATAAATACACGTGATATGTTACTTCACCCCCCCTCCCCCCTTGTGATATTTCGTGACTTTTTTATGGACCCCTCCCCCCTCTTTCGAGCCTCACGTGATTAATGGACAGCCCCTTAGCTGATCGATTAGAAGAAATAATGTGATCTAAACCATTTTCAGTTAGGTTTATAGCAATATTGCCTTAGATAATACAAAGTTCAGAATAACTATATCTGTCATTCTATATTTTTCGAAAAATAACAATAAACAAAAGCCCCGTTACATTCAAAAAGTTAAGGTTAAGATAAGGTACTAACTTTACTTAGAATCTCATTCTTGATGTTTATACATATTACTCAAGAAAGTAATTAAATAATTTTAGAAAGCAGCCAGATCAATCGGAAGGGTCTAACATCCTCACCAGACCTATGTGTAGGCTCATACATACAAAGTCATAGAATATACCAGAAGGCTCACCGGTCGAGCGTAGGTATGACAATGTGATATTTAATGAGATTGAAAATAAAGTTACACTATGATATTTTATGAGATTGAAAAAAATTACCGCTGCCGAAATGAGCCTGGTAGTTAAAAATTAGCACTGAAAAAATAATAAAGTTATTACCATTTTTACGTACCTTTAGCATGTTGTATCCGGAAATTGGCACATAAAAATATAACCATAGCATATACTAACACAACATTATTTAAAAAAATTTGTTTCTGAGAAAATAAGTAACGTTTTGGGGCCCTGGGATCTTGGAATATAATATCTGTGTCATTGTTCGTTTTTTATTCTGCCCTATGAACATACCTACTTAATTGGTAATATAAAAACATCACGTTTATTCAAGAGGCTCGCGAGGTCAACTTATACACACGGGTAATTGGATCCAAAGTTCACCAACAAAACGAATTTCAGATTTTTTTTCCTGGGAAAGAAATAAATTGGTAGTAACATAGGAAACATTATTTTAATGTTAGTTACATTTTAGTTTATTTATTTTATTTTAATATTAAGGCACAATTGCAGACGGAATAGCAAACATACAATTATATAACAGATCTTACATAGGTATATCTGTGCCTAATGACAATTGTGCACAACATTTGTTATAAACTAATAATAAGTGACACTTTGAATGCGGTTAATATTTTTTTTTAAATACAACGCATATAACATAAAATAACCAAATTAGTAACTATGATTAAGTACTGTCATTAATCAAAAAACTACGACAATTTTAAATTACTTAATCAATTCCAGCTCATATATAAGTTTATTAAATATGGGAATACTACAATTAAAGATATCACAACTGGAACAGATTTCGTTGTAATGGGTTCACATTCTGTTAAGAGGATTATTTTGTGAGACATTAATTTTAGAAGGAGGGGTACAGAAAACACTCGTTGCGAATGCGGAGACCGAGTCGGCACCCGAATCAAGAGTTTTCCCAGCAGATCTTATAACCCATTAGCTATTTTGTGCAAAGTGTGTAAATCATACATCAGAGTATTGAGTCAGTTTTCTACACAATCCACTTTTAGAGCATAAGGTGCGTACGAATCTCCGTTGAATAGCTTCTATTCTATCAGTATGAGTTCGATAAATAGGGAAATAACCAAACCACAGAATATAGAGAGAGATTATGTTCGGTGTACCAAACCAATGAGCAATACTCCAAGACACTTCTCAGCAGCAAAGCATATAAAATTAGCAATGTTTTTATATCTTTAAAAAGTTTGGCTTGGTGTAGAATGAAGGATAGCATACGATTAGCCCTACAGCAGATATAATCATAATGGGGCCTAAAAGTAAGAGTAGTATCATAATATACTTCAAATCCTGAACGGTCCCAACTCGACTCAGAGCACCACCACCTATTTGATAACCATAAATCAAAGGATTTTTCTTCTTTGTGAAAGTCATCACCTGGCATTTGTCAGTGCTAAGTTATCAGTTATCTAATCACGTGTGTATCTAATCACATATCTGTGATTAGATACACACCAGTCAGTCACATCATTTAAACTGAGTTGCAAAGCACCGCAATCGTCTGTATCCATTACAGTACCAAATTTTTTATGTCGTCAGCAAAGGCAAGACATTCGCTTTCGATTTTGTTTAGAAGGTCGTTAATAAAAATCAAAAAGAGAAGCGGCTCCAAATTTAAACATTGTGGGTCCCCTTAACTCGGAATAAATGGATACGATTTATACCCACTAAGAGCAACGAGTTGAAAACGATTAATTAGGTATGAAGCAAGCCAACGCAACAAATTTCCGTGTATACCAAGTTGTTTTGCTTTAATTCGCAGTATTGGATGGCTGACTCTGTCAAATGCCTTAGTAAAGTCCATATAGATGGTATCAACTAGTCTTTCATGGTTAAAGGAATCACATAAAAGAGTTGTGTAAACAAGAAGATTGGTATTGGTTGATTTCCCTTCCACAAAACCATGCTGCCTCTGACTAAGCAGCGGACTAATGCGATTGTAAAAGTGCTGATAGAGAAGTGACTCGAATATCTTCGTGAACCAGCTCAGCACACTGATGGGTCGATAGTCAGTAATATTGTGTCTATCCCCAGCCATAAATATAGGTGTAATTTTTGCAATTTTCCATAGACATGGAAAAGAACTTATACTGAGTGATTTGTTATAGATTAAAGTTAAGGGATCAACAATTCCCGAAGTACACATACGTATAAGAATAGGTGGGATACGATCTAGTCCTGCACCTTTAGATATATCCACATTTTTTAGCAAAGCCATCACGGAATCACTCTGCATTTGCAAATGGCTTATAGCAAAATTTTGCCAGGGAAATCAGCTACATAGAATACGAAAGAACCACCATTGTCGTAAACTGAAGAAAAAAATTCCGTAAACAGATACACAATATCACAGCCCGCGGGAGCGAGCCGGTCGCGGAGATACATGCGTTTCGGAACCGAATTGGTAACTCGTTTGCTTTTCATATACCTCCAAAAAGATTATGTTACATGTTAAATCCTCCTCTATGTTCGCTTTATTATATATGTATACTGATGAAAAAAGAAAAATCATCACGACGAGCGACGTTGCCGAATTTCCCTATAATTGTACGAGGCTGTGTACTACTTTTCTTTAATTTTGCGATTCTCATACAATTTATTATATCACCGTCTTTGATTGAGCAGCCAATAACAGAGGAACAGTGCTTCAGGAGGTTAACTAAATTCTTATTATAATATTCAGGTATTCCATGAAGTTCCCAGTTACATTCTATCAGGTATTGCTCAGTATTATTTAAGCGATCGGACAGTTCGCCCACGATAGTTTGCAACAATAAATTAGATCCTTTTAAAGAGAGTTATTACCCTCTTTTAAAAATTTTATATCCTTTTTTATATCTTCAAACTTTGTATTAAAAAATTCAAGAGAAGTGCAAAAGTCCTTAAGCTCATTTTGAATCGGCAGCAATTCCTACTGTAATAATTTAGACAATCGTACAGACAACTCAGTTTTAATTGAATTAAGCACCCTTTCGCTAATTACTGAAATTGTATCCTCGTCGCGGCTAGAACCAAAACTAACATCACAATATTTTAGGTTTGATCTCCGAATAGTGACGTTTTCGTGATCCAAAACTACATCATTTTCTTTTACAGGAGAGCACTCAATTTCAACAGCATGAAAAGCACGAGCGGTGTGTTAGTGTTGCTGGTCTTAGGCTGTTTGCTTTGACACTCACAGCAAACCGATTGCAATTTATTAATCTTCGTCATTGAGTTTCGAAAACAATGCACCGATGCAATAGCACATTGATGGTCGTAAATTTTTGTACAGCCTGCACATTTTAAGTAATCGTTTGTATTAAAATTTTTGCGACAACCAGCACATACAAATTGAGTTGGTGCCATTACAAATAAGTAAAATTTTGACTTAAACTAGATACGTTGTGCTGTCACCTCTGCTAGGCTTTATAGCGTGTACGTAACCGTCGATATAAGCCTTTGTCGATCGAAGATATGAGCACATTAACAAAGGACCGCCTCGTGCTAACAAGTTGCTGGTTGAGCCTTCGCGAGAAGACGGGCGCAAGCGCCGTGCAACGGGCGTCACTTACGCGTTTTGTTCTATGATTATTACGATTGTCTGGAGGATTAGATAAAAAATTTTATTCACTGTATGGAGATTTCTGTATTTTCGCATAAAATTAACAAATATTGATTTACACACTAACTTGGTTTGGTCAAATTGACAGATTAACCAGAAATTTTAATTTGTTTGCAGGAAAGTTGTGAATAGAAAAAAATCACGTTTGTTGTATGGGTATCCTCTTAAATATTTATTTTTGTTGTATTTTTAGTATTTCCTGTTATAACGGCAACAGAAACACATCATTGTTTATTACAGATTTAATTAAGGTCTAAATAATTACAAACTACGATTAGGTGCTAATTATCTCAAAGAAATATGCTTAATAAATCTACCAATCACAGGTGTTCAGAGATTGTTGGATTTTTTAATTGATCAAATACAATTAAACTTCAATTTTTGAGGCAAGTGATAGGATGGCACTTACTTGACAAATATCCTCTGGATTACTCTTCATGACCTGTACAATTAAATGTCCGAAGTGTTGATCGTTCTTTAACACCTTCGCCGCCATTATTTTTATAAAAACAAATGTTTGTACAAGCAACAAAATGTCCAGTTCTCAGTTCTTACGCAAGACCACAACTGTTGGATATTTTTGAACGATGTCCGAGACACTATACTATCATACTGTGATCTCAGCCTTGCCTTTATTCATTTATAAATAACGCGTAAAGTAGACGGTAGCTTAACGGTGAAGTAAAAACTAATTTAAAGATAATAAAATTATCTCAAACCAAATGTTTATAACGAGATAGTAGTCTTTTGTCTTAATTTACCAATATTGAAAAATTTGATGTATCCTATATCCATATGTATCCATTTTATTAGTGAAAGCATGTAATGGTGAACAGTAATTTAAGTAAAACAGACGATAAAAGATTACTTATCTCTTATCGTCTGTTTAAGATAAAAAAAGATAGCGATTATTTTTAAAACTGCATCACCAAGAGAGATAACGACGTTATTTGCACTATCATATCTCTGAGGTCTACGTAAAGTTGACGGAATGCACATTTGTATCCACATATCGTCCGCGTGTTTCCGTCACGAGGTGAAGAGGCTGATTTTTTATATTCTCCTAGTTGCTTTTGCATAAATTGAAGAATATAGGTATCAGTGGAACTGCCCTAAACCTATTCAACAGTTATTTAAACAATAGGAGTCAAAATGTGATAATAGGCAACATATTAAGCGACCCTTGTCATTCATCCTACGGAGTAACAAGGTAGTATACTCGGACCTAGCTTTTTTCTAATTTATGTAAATGACCTTTGTAATATGCAATTGAATAATGGTTAAATATTAGCATTTGCTGATGATACATGGTTTTCCATGGTGCCTAATGGTTCCATCTTGAAAATCATCTTCAAAACTAAAACAATCAGCTGAACATGGACTCAATAAAGTTATGGTTAACCTTCAACATAATTTACTTAAATTAAATCTAAACAAAACAAAATTTCTTAGCGAGTTTTACGAAGTTAAGTCGCCTTCAACCAATAGATAAGCAAATTAAAAGCTCATAATTGTTCATCACTGGAAAATTCCATCCCCTGCTCATGCACCACAATATAACGATAAACGACTATGAAATAATTGGATATTTATATAGCTTATGTCTTGGAAACACCGAACTGAAATGCTTAGTATAAGAATCCGTACACTTATATTTGTGTTCAAGCGACTAAGAACTGGCGCTAACTTAAATGTCTTAAAAATCACTTACCTCGCTTTGTATCAGTCGTTAATAACCTATTGCATCACATCTTAGGGTGGTACTTATAAAACGTAGATGATGAAAATAGAAAGAGCTCAAAGGGCGGTACTTAATTATGTTAAGGCTCTATCGACACCCGACAGAACAGTTATACACAGAAGTTGATGTACTCACAGTAAGAAAGTTATTTGTTGTAATACTATAGTTTACACTCGTACCAACTTTTGCTACAATTCAAAAATTATTGAAAATACTTACCAGAAGAAAAGACAGTGTTTTTAAAAATCGCATAAATTATTCATCTTTCGCATAGAACTATCAAGAAATCTTCATTGAAATTGAAAATCTTATTAAATCCTCAATATAGGAAACTATTATATTCAACTAATTAATAAGCGCACTAATTCCATATACATAATTGTGTAGTTATGGAGTTCCAATGCCATAACTACACAATTCTGTTTGTGTTTTTTTCTTTTTGTTACACACATACACACACGCCTTTTTAATGTTGCTCTTAAAATTATTAAACATATATAATATACTTAATAATTATAAGTATTATTAAAAATGATTCCGTGGTGGGGGTGTGTCGATGGCTTCGTCATTATGAATTAGCTTTAAATCTAATGTGATTACATGTTAGAAGATCGTTTGTAGCTATTGTGACAGAAATAATTTATTTAAAAAATAGTACCTACATTACAATATATTATAACCCTAGTCGTAACCCAACCGGATGTGACGTGAGCGTAGTGCTGGTTGGTATTAACTACTTCATGTAGGAGCTCGAGATTGTACATTTTTGGTCGCCAACCACTAACCATCGCGCCATCGAACTTCCATTCCATCGAACAGGTTGTCACAACAGCTACAAATGAGCAAAAGCCAGAAATGGTTTAATTCTACAATAAAACAAAAGGCGGCACAGCAGACGAAATGTATTTCCAGGATATGGTGACGTTGGCCGTTGAGATATTTCTTTCATATGCTGGATAATTCTGGTATCAATATCAATATCATCTACAATTGGAATATGGCGCAATCGCAACCTAACATGAAATGGTCTGAATTTTTTAAAAATTTTGTTTGAATATGCTCCAAGGTCTCCTTGAAAAAAGATCACAACCAACCCATAGCACTCGAGAGGATGTTGAGTGCTCCTGGATCAAGCACCGAAGGAATGTCACCAATAAAAAGCAGTGCTGTATAGTTTGTCCACGCTGTAAAGACATTATTATGTGTCAAAAACGCAATTTTAATTGATTCTCTTATTTATTGCTTATATTTATGTATTTCAATGAGAAAGTTTATGTTAAGAACCCATGTAACTAAGGAAACTGAAAGATCGCAATATTGTGACTAAAAAGGCTGATTATTATATTTTGTAGAACAGTAATAAAGTTGATTATAAAATTTATGTTTATCATTTACATATGTCTAATAACAGCCATAAAGAAAGTGAAACAAACTTTCTGTTGAAGCTGCCTTAACAGCATATCATGGTTATGTGTCGTCGGTTTTAAGCTACGGCCTAAGCTACTTTGGGGAGCCTCTGTAGATCTAAACAGAGTTTTTAAAATTCAAAAGAAGTGTGTTCGCGTTATGTGTAATGCTTGGTTCGATGATAGCTGTAAGCCACATTTAAAAAAGCTTAATATTATGCCTCTACCTTGTATGTACATAAAAGATATGTGTGTTTGTTCACTCTCATTCCAATACTGGAGTAAACGAGTAGACATTATTCCGAGACAAACTAGACGAAAATATAGAAACCTGTTGTATCAGCCTCCTTGTTTTAAAAACATCTATAAAAACAATATTTACAATATGTGCATAATTTTATATAACAATTTGCCAGATGACATGAAACTGTTAAACATGAATCAATTTAAATTAAAACTGACAAAGTGGCTTTTAGAACACTGCTTTTATAGCGTTAATGACTTTTTAGCTTTAAAAAAAAATCCATGACATAATGATAATATATAATAATAATTTGTAATGTAATAAGTTGTTTAATCTATACTATAATAAAAACGAAACCGATCGATGTCTGTATATTGAAGATATATGAAAAAAACTGTTATGAAGGACATTTATAAGCGTAATAGAACACAAAACAATGATTTTTAAAATTTTTGTCTGTTTGTCTGTTCGTTTGTGCACGATAATCTCAGAAATGGCTGAACCGATTTAAATGCAGTTTTCACTATTATATAACGGCATTCTTTCGTTAACATTTATTACAATCGGTTCTCAAATAAAAAAGTTATGTCAATTTGAAGTGACGTATTCGCCAAAATTGCTATGAAATATTAACTGTTTTATTAAATTTTCGTCTTTGATATATTGATTATCATCATTAACTCTTTCACAGCCAAACTACAGGGCCTCAAGCCTATGTTTAATAATTTTTGGTCACCCATCCCGTGAACAACTCTTGCGAAAATTGCTTAGCAATAACGATCGTGCACAGCGGCGCATATCCATAGCGCCACCGAGCTACGAATTAATATTGTATTTAAAAGGATAATCTGTATGATGACAAATAAAAAAATAAGATTCCAAAATTTTGATACTCCGAAGTAAGTTGACCTCATTTATATATGGCCAATCATATTAAATAGGGTTCAGCTTATAATGGATGTGTGGTATACGATCACGCGTGTAGGAGAACAAGCGGTACAAGCCTTCCGATGATGCAATTAAGCTTCGAGTAGTTTACAATGAACGCATTTTTTTATCAGATTAGGTTCACGTCGTCATCGGGGCCGGCGGAGGTGGTTGGCAGCCGCCCCCGCATTGCACGGTTTCGTCTGTCTGGCAGAGGTACTCGATTTACCCGGTCTCTCCAATTTTCCATCTGCAAAGGGACCAATGGTCCAATACTTGAGTGTCCTGGTGACTCGGCCATAGCTTGCCGGATTTCATTTCCCATGAGAGGGTGTAGAGTACGGGTTTTGGTGTGTAGGCCTCTGGGGACCTACCGGGCAGCTCACTGTCGGGTTCACGGAGGAGAATCCTACTCACCCCTGTTGCTTGCCAGGTAACAGAGAAACTGTCAGAAGTTTTTCCACGACGTTAAAAAAGTTAGATTCACGTCAACTGAAGTTAAGAACGTAAAGACAACTCGAGTTATATATATTTTTTTCTCTTATTACTATTTTTTTATGTTAATGTTTTTTTTTACATACAAATTGCTGTAGATACGTACTTCAAAGTTGGTATTTTCAGTCTTCGCTGGAAACAATGGTTTATTCATTGATCACAACACTCATATAATATTACGCGTGTCTGAGGGTCGGTTCAGAGTAGCTCGGTGGCGTAGTGAATAAGCGCCATGGCCCGCAATTGTAGTTGTTAAGCAACTTTCGCGAAGGTTGGGCACAGGATGGATGACCAAAAAATATTATCTCAAGCAACTCCAAGCTTCGGAAACTACGTAAAGCGATTGGTCCCGGTTGTATTTGCAGTCGTTAATATTCTCCAATCCACATTGGGCCAGCATGGAGGATCGTGGCCCATCCTCTTTAACCATACATAAGGAAGGCCTGAGCTCCTGCAGTTTGTGACGTAAAAGGGCTGATGATGATGATGATGAGGGCCGTTCAAATCTGACAGATGCTTAGTTAAGCACCTCTCGGAAGTATGTTAGTAGACGATTTCCTTCGAGTATGGAAAGTCGAAATTAAAATATGTATATTTTTTTATATCAATAAATTAATCTCCACGTATCTTCCGTCGGACATGTACCGACCGACTTTTATTGACAAAGAAAGAGATCAGACACTAAACGCTCGGTCTCGGGAGACACCTGAAAAACGCGAAGCGTATTTAACTGCCCATCGCGATGGTCATGCACTATAAAGTTGAATCTGAAGCATTTACATACATGCAGTATAGTATGAGTATGAAACATCCTTTGATAGGGAAATGCGCTTAGTCTTTTAAAGAGCTCGCAGTTTGCACAATAGAGATCGAGAAAGTAGTTTCAATTATCGCCAACCCGTGTTGCCTTCATACTCCACAGGCGTAGGTACCGCAGTTAAGTTTTCACAGGGTATAATGAACTAGCTATTTTCCCACGACTGCCACAAAATTATAACCTAT